TCTAGAATAAAAGTCACTATAGCAGGTCGCATATAGATATTTTTAGAATAACTGGGTGAGTCGGAACTTAAAAAATTAGGTATTAGAAGGTTTAACCATATAATGTTGTTTTTCATATATAACAAATCTAAATAAAGTTACGGCATGACTACTGAATGTAAAAAAAAAAATTAAAAAATATATAATTAAGCAAATTTTAAAATATCATATTTTTAGTAATATAAATATTGAATTTTAGTAATGATTTTTTTTTAGTATAGAGAATTAAAATGTATAATATTGATATAGTAATTATTAATATAGAAAAAGAATTAGTTATAGCAAAAGAATTAATTAAAGACTCCTCTTTCCGATGATCCTTTTTCTCAAAAAACTGAAAAAGCAAAAAACAAAAATTTTGTTAGAGTATGATAAAGAAGACTCTTTTACAACAACAGTTTTTACAAAGGTCAATAAGAGTTTTACTTTTCCTTAGTGACTCCTTTGTATATTTGGCATACAAGCTAAAAGTATTATTATATAAGATAACTAGCAAGAGGTGGAGCTATTATATAAAAAATTTTAGTAAAAAACTTTTAGAACAAAGCTCTTTGTTGACGAAGTTAGTAAAAGAAAGCTTAAAAAACAGGAAAACAACTAAATATTTTGTCTACACACTCTTTAAAGTCTTGAAAAATAACTATATATCATAAGTTTTTTCTTGCTAGCCTTTTATCTATATTAACAAAAGTAGAAAATTTAGATTCCCTCCTACAAAAGATTAGTATTGTTTATCATATCCATTTTTAGATATACTCTGTTGAGTATATGACTATAAAAATAAACAAAACAGAAAACAAATACATGGAAACATATGTTTTGTTTTGCTTATTTTGTTGAAACTAGTTCTATGAGTATATAAAAAGATGCAAACAGCTATCGATATACTATTATAAGGTAATAAGAATAAATTATAATATTAGAGAGAGAATAATTTGAGATAGGTTATAAGTTTGCTAACTTAATATTTTTAAACCTAGTCTAGGTTAAAGAATACTTTGTTTTTTTTCTGTTTCTTTTTTCTTTTATATAGCCTGTTCTATTATGTTACTGCCTAACTAAGTTTTTAACTTAAGACAAGGTTTTCTTTGTTAGTTAGCTTTGAGCTTTTAGATAGTAACAATTTTTTTTTTTTTGGGGTTGTTGGGACTATCTGAAGTACAGAAAAGTTTGAGTAACTAAATCTGATAGTATAGATTTAAAAGACTAACTATAGCATGCTGCATATAAGTACTATTTGAGTAATCAGATGAGTTTTAGCTGAATAGTTAAGCATATGAGAATGTAAATTTAAATGTAAAAAGTTTGCTTTGCAAACTGTTTGAATAAAATTGAGGCATAGCTGCTAAATTTAAAAAAAAAAAAAATTAATTAAAGACTCTAAATTAATTATATATTATAAATATAAAATTATGTATAAATATATATTAAAAAATATTAAATAATTTGTAGCTAGTTTAATTTAGTTTATTTTTCTGTAATAACAATTTGTAGTTGTTTTTTCTTAATAAATAAAGAGCAAGATTGCCTAAGTTAAAAAAAAATTTTAAATACATATAATATTATAACAATACTATAATAATAATAATATACCTTTATTTGAAAATTATTTAGAAATTGAGTATCAATATTTATTTTTGTCAAATAATAGAATATTTGGAAGTATTTGTTCATTAATATCTTGTAATTTAGTTAGCTTTATTAAAAAAGATTAATATATATATATTGTATAAATAAATATTCAATATATAAATTAAAAAAAAACTTATAATTGCATAAGCTTACAATATAATTAAATCACTATCTAATTTTAAATATTAACTATCATCAGAAATCAAACAACTTTGAATATGTATATCACATGATAGAAGATTTTCATAAAAATTTTTTTTGATATTATTCAATGTATTAATGGTATTAGATTCAGTTTCAAGTATCTAATAGTAAATTATACAGTAAATAAATTATAATTAGTATAAATAAAATTTAAATATTAAAATATTTTATACTTACATGAACTCTTTTGCTAGCTTTAGTAGATTCATCATTTTCTTGATAAATATACAATTGAAGATTTTTTTATATTTGATTTCAGAAATAAATACAGTAATAGCCTCATCTGATTTCAAATCTTAATGATCTGCTTTGGCTGTATTTAAAATTTGATAACAAATATGACCTAATTTAATCTTTCCTAATGCTCAGAAAGTGAGCATGATAAAATTTCCTCTTCAATGTTCCTGAAGCTTTTTATATTCTCAAAATCATATAGGATTGCTAATGCCTTATCAAGTTTTTATATAGTTTTTTCAAATCGATCGTAATATACTAGTATAACAAACACTAAAATAAAATAAAATTAAATTTGAAAAATATATTAGATATTTCAATAAATAAATACATATTATAAAATATATAATGTATCTTACGTTTAGCTGGTTCTTTTGGTATAATAATTTTTGATTGGGTCACTGTTGCTTCTGATATAGGGGGTATTGATTAGATTCAGTTGTTGTTTCTGATAAGTCAGATAATTTGGATTCAGCTATGATTACTTTAGACAAATTAGATATTTGTAAAATATTTGTTACAGACAAAGAAGCTAAAGGTTCTTTAGTTGTCAAGTTTATCATTTTAACATTTTTGTCTAATTCATACTGGTTTTCTTTTTGGCCTATATTTATAATAATTATTATATATTAAACCTTTTAAATAAAATAACATTAAGTATAAAATTTTACTTTGATTTCATTGATTATAATTCTCAATGCAGTTTCGACAAATATTAATAAAATCTTGGTTGCTTGGAATTATAATTCGAATTATATTGTTTTTAATTCAGTTAATAAATTCTTAATAATAATGAACTTTTTTTTTATTAGTGTCTACTTGTGTCATATATTTATTATAAAAGCTTATCTTATATTCAGAACCTTTTTTATATTTTTTATTAAGATCTATTAGTTGACAAGAACAATCTTCACTATAAATTTTTGTATAGACTAAATACCAAACAGACTGAATATGTATTTAAGAAAAAACCTAACTTCGAATGTGTTGACATTGTAGTGGTAATCAAAATTCTATATATTATGTATTAAAAAATAATCACTTTATATACTAATCATGAAATTTATCACTGCTGAAATCATAAACTTATCGAATTGGTCTAATTATCATTCAGTTAATTTTTTATCAGATGTTCCAAAATTTATGAGAATAGCTGTAAGTGCAATTAATTACTTTTATGAACAGGAACAGTATTTCAGATACAGAGGGGTAGATAGTAAGTAAAGGAAGAATATAAGTTCAAATTAAACATTTTTAAAAATATTAAAGAAATAATTGTAAATAGCTTTAAGTAGTCTTATTAAATAGTAAGTGTAAAATTGCATTTGTAAGAGATGAATTGAATAATATAAATAAAGACTGTAATAGCCCCTAAGAACAATAAGTCTCATTTGCTTCTCTAATAAACCAAAGTCTCAATTTTATTAAATAAATTGCCTATAATATTACATTGACACTACTTTGCTAATATACTCTATAAATTCTAAAGTATAATCTATTATTCATCTAACTTCTTGTTCACATGACCAACTTTTCTGATTCAAGTAACTGAAGCCTCAATAATCCCTCAGCCTAATCTAATACACCTCTTTTGAAAGATTATCTACTCTTGGTTATGAGAGATTTTGTGTTGTAGAGCATTCTAGTCATAGTTTTCCAAAAATCAACAATATGTAAGCTGCACAGTAGCCTATCCCTACTGTTACAGGTAGAAATATCAACTAACAAACAACAACAAAATGATCTGACTCTGTCAGTCTGAAATCAAGTTTCTTGTATAATGTAAAGAAATATCTAAGCAGTTAAGACTCTCTCAGCTGAGGCATACGATTTGGTCAAGCAAGATAAGTTCCTTCTTATCTTATAGCTTTCTCTATATCATCCCTTATACAAATCACCAACTTATTTCTTTAATTATACAAGGGATTATTTAATTAACGAGAATTAGGTTTGATAATATAAGAGTTCTACTAGTATAGATTACGTGAATTATAGGTTTATTGGATTAGAGATTTTATTGAATAAAGAAAAGCAATAATTTATGCAACTAATTTATTTAACAATTAGAACTTTGTAAATATAACTTAATAAAGAACAGACTTTTAATTATTTAATTATGAAAAGATCAATTTTATTTATTAATATTCATTTAATATTCGAAACCCAAGAGTTGTTATTAACAAGAACAAAACTAAAGGTCTTTTATAACTTTTGGTTCTTTACATATTTGACACTATTTACTTATTTTTCTTATTTTCTATTATTTACATGATAAACTAATTTTATCGTATTTACATTCTTGATAGTTTTTACAGATGTTACAAGATTAACAATTATTACTGGTTTGACTATTTTACACTATTTACAATTATACTAAATTTAGTAATAATTGTTATCTCGTATCAAAACTCCTTATGACAATTCTCCTACAGTTAATAATGAGTTCTATGAGTTAATTATGGAGTAGTAGCTGAATCTCTCTAGGTTTCAGGGTAGTGACTGTAGAGATTTTGATTAAGTATCTTCCTATAAGTCATTCTTTTCTTAATTATTTTCTTCATTTCTCAACTAATTATTATCTTCTTTCTTCGATACAGGTTTTTCTTATAATGTACCCCTTCTCGCATATTAAAGTTGTGACTATTCTTATTTTGTCATGTCTTTTTTAATCGTTTTCTTTACTTCTTAACTAATTATTGTTTTCTTTCTTTGATACAGATTTTTCTTATAATATGCACCTCCTCGCATATTAAAGTTATGACTATTCCTATTTTGTTATGTCCTTTTGCAAAATTTTTTTTTGTTTTTTTTTTTTTATTTTATTTTATTTTCTTATTTATTATTATTTTTTTTAGAAATTTCTTGTAGCTTTAATCCTTAGCACTACTTATTCAGTGTTTCAGAACCTTGTCAAAATCTTTATTTGCTTCTTGTTTAGGTAAGTATCTTCTTTTGTTAGTGTCTATACTTGGCTGGTTTCTAATGTTGACTAATCTGTCTATTACTTTTAGATGCCTTTCTGGTAGATTATTCATGGCAATCTTGCTTAAGAATGATTCTTTTATACCCAGTATAGGTAGGTACAATATTTCATTATTTTCTTTATGACTTAACTATCTGATTATTATTAGGAAGATGATTATAGTGCAGAGACCTAATGTCATTATCCTTTTATTCTTCTTTTTTTTTTTTAGTTAACTATGATTTTTGGATACATCAGTCTGATATAAGACTTTCTTTGTATAAGGTCTTGTGCATTTGGTTCTTCTGGAACTGAAGTATTATCAGTAATGATTGCATGATTGTGAATTATAATAGAATCAGATTTCTCTATCGGGAATGTATCCTTTTTGTAAATTGATTATATATTTTTTAATAGTTCCTTAAGTAGTAAATAATTTATAATTAAATTATCATTGGAAATAGATAAGCAACTTTTTTTATCTAAACAAGTTATAAGTTATATATTTAAAGAAGTATATAGTTATATTTGAATAGATATTAAGAACTTTGAAGTAAAAATTTAATAATTTATTTGATTAATTTGTATTAATATATTTATTAGAATTAGTTTAAATATTTGTATATAAATATAAATAATTGTTATATAGTAATATATACTATATAAAGCAGATATATATAATATTAAATAATATTTAAAATATGCATACAATATATCATATTTAAAATTAGTATTTGCTTGAAAATTATATATTGACATACTAATAATTTTTATTTTTATAATTTTTTTACAAAATATTAGTTTTGTAATTATATATATAATTTCAACACACTCTTCACGTAGATTATTTTGACCATTTCCAGAGCTAAGAAAAAACTCAGATTTACTTGAGAATATCAATAAGAAACAGCCTAATAGTCACTAAGAAAAGAGAAAGAAGGCCCCAAAATACAGATACTTTAATAGAAAGAACAAGAAA